AGCAGGAAGGGGAAGCCGTCTGCCTGAACTGAGGTGGGGGCCCTCTGGAGGATAAGCCACTTATGAGACCGTCCACATCTGAGCGGTAGCCCTGGCCCTTTCACCAGCTCAGACCCACACTGAGTAGAGACTCACCTGGTCATCAGGCCTCTAAGGGCACAGCCCCAGCGCGGACCAGCCCAACTTCCGCCCTCCCACCCAGGCTGTAACTCCTGCCCCCGACTGGTCTCTGTCCCTTGTCCTCCCTGTTCCAGTTCAGTGAAGGCTCAGAGACCCCACCGCAGTGTCTGCAGATGAGTGAGAGCACCTCGTCACACGCGGGACACTGCCTGATGCCACCTCTTCGCCTAGTCCTAAAGCATGAAGCTCACGCTTTGAAGCCAACCTGGCCCCGTTCATCGGGTGGGGCGGTGAGTTTCTCTGTCGTCTAATATTTCCTCTATATAGTGAGAAAATAATTCTATAATCCTATTTACAGGGACTTAGAGCATAACTCAGGGAGCGAAGTCTTGGACTCAGCCTGCTTTTTTTATTAGCCGCAATGCTTGTAAGAAGACATCTTGAAACGCAAAGATCCCACGTCAAAGCCGCCTCCGCGCCCCGCCATCCACCCCTTGTCCCCACAGTCAGAGGCACGGCGTCTAAACCTCCTGGAATTGAGTCACCCCACAACTCAAGGTGCTTACAACGCGAAGCCAGAGGATGCGCCTCACCTTTATGCGTTCCCAGGACCCTATTGTCTTCTATCGAAATGAATCTGCCGGGCCGGGGCTGTAAGTACTGGAGAGCACACACGGCGTCACTGCTGGGGCCAGGTCTGCGGCAGAGACACGGCCCCATCCTGTCCACCAAAAAACACTCACCTGAAGAATGAAGTTTTCAAAATTTCTTTTACCAACGAAACAGATGCCCATGCTCTGAAATGAAGAGGGGCCGATCATGAGACGAAGGACGGGCAGGAGGTGTCTGCCCGCGAACGGGCCGCGCTGGGCCCAGGGCCGGCGTGCCCCACCCAGCACCCGGATGCCAGCCACAACCTACACGCAGGCTGGGAGTGGCTCACCGACAGCCTCTCAGGGGTTAGTTAGGGTCCCTAACCTGTGCCCTTGCCTGTGCGGTCCGGGCCTGTATGGCAGACCATCGGAGCAGCTGCCCCGGGAAAGAAAACTTAAGCTGCTCAGGCCCTTCGGGCCACTGCGCGTGAGTCTCGGGAGAGAGGAAGGGACCAGAGCAGGAGCAGGGGGCAGAACGGTCAGGCCAGAGGCTGAAGCGTCCAAGGAAGGAGAAGTCTTCCTCAGGAGGTATGCCCTCGCACAAGGGACGACAGCGGGGACAAGCTCTCCACCGCCATGCTCAGCAGATGGCCTCATCTCTTATTCTTTGGTTTCTGTCCCTAGAATGTGGGTCCCATGAGGGTGGCTCCCTTGGCTCCTACCATAGTCACACTTGGACATGGGACAGGTAGAGATGAACAGAATTGATGGGTACGGGGAACCATGACTTGCTGACAAAAGGCACAGCCATGCCCATTCCCAGCAGACAGACGGGAAGCGGCGGCTACGGCTAACGCTGCCTCAACCGCGGAATGGTGGGAGCGGACTGGCACACGGGAGTGGGTGCAGCTCGCCAGATCAGCCCACCGCATGCCCCGCCGCACCTCAGGGCCTTTGCACATGCTCTCCCACTTTCCGCACTGTTTCTCCTCACCTGTCTATGCGACACTAAAATCCTCGCAAGCCCTTTCCGGCGTCTCAAGCCCTTGATCTGCACTAGAGCCCACTGGTGTTTCCTCCGCAGCACCCCATCCCTCCTTCCCAGACCTCTCCTAAGGGTACAATGGTTATGTTTCCTGCCTGTCCCCGCCTTTGACGCCCCCAAGCTCCGTGGAGGTGGAAATTAACGTGTGTGCTCCTCGCTGCATCCTCGGAGGCCAGCAGCAATGCCTGGCAGCAAGAAGGCGCCGGATGAGCACGTGCGGGATGCGTGAGGAGCACAGCAGGTCCACGCGGCAGCACAAGCTCCCATGCGCCCCAGAGTCTCAGCGCCTGGTCCCCACTGCTCTGCTCTCTCCTACAGCGGGGCCGCGAGCACACAGGAGCCACCAAGGCCGCTGGGAACGCCGCCCACGCCAGTGGGGCTGGGGCGGGAGGGGGAAGTCACTGCTAAGCTGCTTTCTGAATGTCGCAGCACACGCGCCAGCTCCTCCGAGGTGGCGAGCACAGACTTCTGCTTCTCCCTGAGCCGCGGAGCTGGAAGACGTGAGCGCCCCGCTCAGTCCTACCTCCTTTCTCTGAAGCACGTGATGGAGTCTATTCTCGGCAGCTATTTTCTTTACAAAGTCTTTCGTTAACCCCCCCAGGGGGAAGAGGGCTCTCCGCAGGGCGTCCTGGGAAACCTGGCCGAGAAAGAAGGTCTGGTCTTTAAGGCTGTCAGCTGCCTGGAGGAGCTTTGTCGCTGCCGAGAGTAAAGAACAGGAGACGTTGCAGGAATGAGACACCCGTGCTTTCCCGCAGCGACGAGCTCCCGTTCGCTTAGACTGATCACCCCCGGTCTGGAAGAAACAAAGCCCAACGCTCAACAGCAGACGGAACCGCTGCGGTGAAGCAGTATGAACTCTCGCCCCTAACTCACCTGCTACTAAAAACGCGCGGGGAAGGCAGATTTCACATGTTAAGGAAACTTATTCCAGTTCATGCTTTAGATAATAATATTTTCCAAGATGAAACATCCCATGAAAAAAACAAGTCTGACATAAATTCAGCCCATTTGGGAAAACTGAACGAGACAACTCGCAGAAAACCCCACCGACATGGCATCGGCTGTGCCGTTTCCTGACAGTCAGGGACGTGCTGATGCCGTGGCTGTTTTCAAGGTCTGTCACCTTCCGGGTCTGACTACCGGGCAAGACGGCACGCCTTTGGCGGCACGCTATGCTCAAACACATTGTCTTTTCTGGTAAAAATGGTTTCCTACATTTGTCAGATGCTCCTCTGCGATTTCTCTAATGGTCCCTATTTGATTATGAAGAGCCGGTTCCAGCTTTAAGGCACCAGCGCAGAGGTGTGACTGACCTTGGCCGCGTGACACTGGTTCAGGAAAGAAGGCCCGGCCCCATCTCTGGGCCAGATCAGTCCTGCCTGGCGTGTGACTGAATTTCCGTTATTACAACTGTTGGGTCCCCCACTCTGAAGTTTAAAAACCAATGGAAATAACTAAACAGAGCATCGGCATGACGGCTTCTTTCAACAAGTCTCCTATCTATGCTAGGAGAGGCCTCACCAAGTTGTACTCAGAGCCACACGAGTATGACACGCACTCGGTGGAGTCAGCGTTTCCCACTGTGACCCCAGATTTGATTCTCACACTCGCTGTGAGGCAGAATTATCCCTGTTTTACAGACAAGGAAACTGAAGCTCAGGTAACGTGACTGGCCGAAATGGTACAGGCAGAGGTCAGCAGAGCTAGAGACTGAGCCCCGTCTCCTAAATTTCTATCCACCGCTTCCGTGCAAAACGACACAAGCGGCTGAAAGATGAAAGACGAGGCTCAGTCCACCAGTCGTCAGGCAGACTCACGTGCCCAGTGCTGCTCTGGTTCAAAACTAAAGTCAAACAGTATGTGTGCAAGGGCCTCCGGAGTACAGGGAGTAATTTGCATTTTCTCGTAGTTCTGAGTTATTTTAAAACAACTCAAAATCTTTTATGTTTAAGCTGGAAATCCTAAACCAGTGAGAGGGAGTAACATTTGGTGAGGGCCAGGAGCTTTATCCTCACACCTTCGCTCCTTCAGGCCCTGTGGGCACTTGGCCTGGTCAGAGGTGCCGCCGCCACCTTGTACAGGTGAGATTTACGAGCTCAAGGCCAGCACCCAGGAGCCTTGGCTTCGGGGCCTACTCGCTCCGGGGCCAGGTCCTCTGCTGCCCCTGGTGCCCTCTCCCCAAGGACCCAGGCCCAGCCAGGAGGCCCTATTCCAGGTCTCCAGGGCAAGTGAACTAGAATAAAATAAAGAGCTTTAGTGTACCGAAAAGACACACTCAATTAAAGGTGTGCCGACGAGGGCAGGGACGGCTCTGTGCAGCCATGGCATACCCCCGACGGCCCAGAGAGCTCTGCGAGGCCAAACACTTTCTGGGGGTGTAGGGGGAGCAGGCACGCCCACCTGCTGCAGAAACAGCCCCTTCTGTCTTTCACGTAACGATGACGTGAATGCCTCTTTTCTACACACAAATGTGCATCAGGATAAGCCAGCAGCTTCCGAGTCCACTGTTTGCCATTTATTTTGGGGGGGAAAGTAAAACTCTGCTCCCTTTGTCATTAATAAACTAATTTGTATACATAATCTTTGTCAACATAGTTCCAAGCCTGGCCACCAAGTCTGTGCTATGAACATCTGGTCCCAGCATTCCTGGCCCATGAAAGTATGCTTTGATCCTAAACCCTTCCAAACTTGATGGTAAGTAACAGGGCCTACAGCACTCCAAATATTGTTGTGAAGTTTCTCCTGCAAATCACCAACACACAGTACCCAGACCTGGGTTATAAATTACGGATTCCATTTCCCGCCGGCCCTGGCCTGACCCCCGACTGGGACTTCTGTTGTCCAATCACAGGCCCTTGGGGGAAATAACCCTCTTGGGTCATTTTCAAAAAGGAAACCAAAACAAACGAGCTAGTCTGGAACACACAGAGGTCTGGCAGGTATGCTCGCACAATGACCCACTGTCATTCTTCAAAATATTTTACTCTGTTTACAAATAATGGAGCTCTGACCTGGGCACTTTTACTTACCATTCCTGACTTCAAATCGATTTCTGAAAAGCCCTTCCGGCCTCTTAATGTGCTTCTGTTGAAAGACTTCTTCATCTTCCCGCGAAGTTCTCGCATAGTGACCCGTGGCAACTGCATCTGCCCCTGTGAGGTTTTTAAGAACACAAGGGGCAGATTTTAGACCTGCGTTCACTGGCCTTGGTCAGCACCAGCCCAGGATGCCTAATGCAGCACAGACATGACGCCTCACCGCGGGTGGTCCGCCACAGTCTCAAAGGGCACACCTCAAACTGCTGCACAGGTGGCCTTTAACCCTTAATTTAAAATAACTTGACCTTGCTACACGGTTTATTATGTCTTTAAGGGCCTTTCAAAAGTTACCGTTCTACTCGTTCATTCATTCTAGCTTAAGGAAATAGTCGGATGAGCACACGGATTTAAGTACAAAAAACTCATTTCAGTGTTTCTTATACTAAGAAAAAACTAAAAACAACTAAAATGTTCAATGCCAGAAGAATATGAAGTAAATTAAAATACCATCGTGATAATAACAGTGCCGCTTCTGAAGAAATTTTAATGACGTGGGAAAATGCTTATGACTTAGGGAAGAAAAGTACATAATACTATGATTCCACGTTTTTAAATGTACAGAAAAAGATGGAGAAAAACGTCCAAGAATCTATCCCTTTAATTCTGGGAAGGGAGACGATAGATGGTGTTTTCTCTCCTCTTTTTACTGTTCTAATTTCAAATTTTCTTTAATAAATATGTATTTTTTTTTTAACAGTGAAGGATCATCCAGCATATTCAATTTCTTCTTTCTACATTATGAAAAAAAAGTGAAAGCATCTCCCAAAGCACACATTAGTCCACAACTTCTTCACTGTGCGATGTTCAGTATTGCAAGACTTCTCTCCTGGAAGGTGCAGCAAAACTGACTCAGGACTCACCCACCCAATCGGCTCCATGAGAAACGAGACACAGCAAGAATTAACTGCTGCATATTAACTACCTGAAAAGCGACATTTAGGAACCCATCATTACATATTGGAAATTTTCTAATAGAGTAGAAACCACGTTTACTGCAGACAACGTCATACCTTCTGGGGAAAACTCTGAGATTTCACAAGTCCAAGTTTCACGTGTTTTGGTCTGTGTTGTGTGGTTCAAGCAGTAAGTTCAGACTTAGAGGCATTCAATGCAGAAATTCCTTTCGAAGCATGCCCAACAGATGGCCCCTGAAGGGCTCCCCAAAAGGCCGAGGTGACAGGGAGCTTCGCCCTCTCAAAAGGCAAGCAGTCCCCTCCTGAGGAGCCGTTTGTGCCACCCAGAGTGAAAAACTCCCTCCTGCACACTGCACGCCTGTCCTCTGGTGTCGTACACTGAACCGTAATCCTAACTCGCACGCATGAATACTGCTATGATGACCCCAAAGAATCACATAGTTCATCAGATGGCATATGTCCAGACACATGCAAAACGAACCTCAATTCACACTCCATGCGTCTGTCACTCCTTTTTCTGAATAAATCGAGACTAAACGTATCCCGCCAACTGTGGCCCACCCAAGGCAGACCTCAGGGAGGGCGCAGGCTGCACTGGCTTCAACAGACATCAGGCTGCAGGCATGGTCAGTGTGAGACAGCGAAAGCCGCCATATCTTCTCCCTGTCTTGCACTGGGAGAATTACTGAACTGGGTAGCAAACTTTGCATTTATCTCTATTCAGTTTCATGCTTTTGGTGTTAGTCCAGCATTCAAGGTTGTTATAATTTTCTGATCCTTTGTTTTTGTAGGCATTTTTTCACTATACCTAACTCCACGAACCAACTTTTCGTCACTGTCATCTCAGCTGCAGGTCACTTATACATCAGATCTGCAAGCCTACTTTGTGCCCATCTCAGTTATTATGAAAGTGCTCACAGGACAGAGCTGCCAACAGTCCTGTGACACCACTGGGCTCCTGGCACACAATTACATGTCTTGGCACGTGGCCAAGCATGGCAGGGTGAGCTGCGATTAGACAGAATAAAGCTGAAAGGCCAGTACCCAGAACTTCAGAAGCTGTTTATGGTGACTCTAACAGCAGGGGACCAGAAAAAGAACCTAGAATGTACAACAGCACAGCAGCAGATACCAAGAGGTAGTCTAAGCAAGCAAGTCAGAATCAGGATGTGTCAACAGGAAGGAGTGGGATGTCCCAAAAGGGAGACGGGAACAAGAAAGCAGAAATTCAGGGACAGACAAAATCTGCAGGCAAGCTGTCAGCGGGCAAGAGGGCCTCGATCATAACAGGATGGGCTTGCAGAAGAGGCCACTGAGGCATGGATTCAAACCAGAGCAACAGAACAGAGACCCAGGGACCCAGACCAGGTAGAGACACAGCCTGCTCTCAGGGAAAAGCAGAAACCTCCTTTTGAAAGAAGAGAAGAGGTCTCAGCAGAACTAGCAAAAAGGGTGACTAACAGGGAGCTGAATACTGAACATCCTGAGCCCTGAATTAGGGCTCCTGAACTTCTGCTAAGTACAACCACATCCAGAACGGCCTGCTCCAGCGAGACTGGCCCCGCAGGCAGGGGCCGGGGCCGGGGCCCGCCTCTCAACTCTCTGGACACTGACCCAGCACATCCTTCCTCGGGATTCTGTGAAGCGGGTTCTCCTGGAACCCACTGCACCTGTCCCCATCCTGCGCCTGTCCCCGTCCGCTGCCTGTCCCCATCCTGCCCCTATCCCTATACTGCGCAGTCCACAGTGAAGAGGCTCCTCTCCTCCCAGTGACTGGGGCATTTGCACGTCACCAGAAAGTTTTCTTATTCAGTGAAATACAAAATATTATCTTTTCCACTGCTTCCTTTCTTTCAGAAAGACGAAACTGTTTACAAGGTTTTGGATTCTGCCTATCTCTGAAAATCTTATGAATTTTTAAAAAAACAAATAAAGATAATGCAAATTACTTACCAAGATTATCCAAAGCATAACGAAAAAAACAATTGAATTTGATGTACTTGTTGCACATGATGTCAGGGTTGGGAGTCCTTCCTTGTTCATATTCATTCAAAAAATCGCTAGAATACGAGAAGAAAATTTTCATTTCTAAGTGTGAAAGTCTTCAAAAAATAAATCAGATAAATTACTTGTTTAGAGTTTCTTCTTGTTTTATCAAATTGTAATTTTCTGTGAAGCAGGAGCACCTCAGGACGTGGCCATTTTGTTTTTTCATCAAACGTCTGTTTAAAGCCAGCTGCACTCTCGGCCTGCATTACGATAATAAACCTGGGTGAAAAATGGGGTATCACGAGGTGAGGGGGGAGCGAGTGCGCACAGATGCCTGTCCCCTCCAAGTGCCCCGCCAGAGGACGCCTCGGTGAGTCGGAGCAGGAATAAAAGAAGTGACAGTTACAATTCAAGGCTCTATCAGCCAGTCCACAATCTCAGCCTAAGAACCCAGGGCACCGGGCAGATGTGCCAACAAACGCTGTCTAATGGGACCACACACTCTCCTGAGGACTGGCAGCCGCCTGGTGCCGGCAGTGGGCAGGCGCCCTAAGTGGGCTTCCGCTCTGCCAGACCGCTGGACCCGGGAGGAGGGCCGCTGAGCGAGAACCTCAGGGTCTTATGGTATTCGCTTCAGGATGGTTTTGATGCTGTTTCGGGAGTTTAAAAAAGGTGTGTTTTGGTATATGTGATCATTTTTTTCATTTAACCTAAAGCTTTCCATTGAGCAGGAGGGGTTAAAAAAACAATGCTGACAAAGCATTGTGAAGGCACTGTGAAGGCTGATGAAGACTCTGCCCAGGGTCACAGGTCGCGTGCGGCTTCAGCTTCGGCAGGCAATGACAAACCATTCCTACCCCTGATCACTCCTTCCTGAGTGCGGAAAGCTTGTGTTGCTCCATATTTTCAACAACACTTGATATTATTACACACTTTCCTTTTTTTTTTTATTTTTAGAAAGTTGTCACAGTTCATTAAACTATAAACTTCTTAAGGCTAAATCTGTGTTTTACTCTCTCTGAAGGTCCATCGCTGCCAAATTTTTTCAACATAACGAGCATTGAATAAATAAATGTTGAAGAGGCCGAACATTTAAACCAGTTTACGAAGAGCATATACTGTCAACCACTTCCTCAATGGCATAATGGAAGACGTGTCGGCTGGCATTAGCAAAAACAATGGGGCACGGCCCACGTAGTGAGCAGATAAGCCAGGCCTGCACTTAGTGAGGGAGGTGATGATTAGGAAGAACAGCTGGACTCAGACCCTTGAAGGTCGAGTGGGTCCTGAACAAAAGGCTTCAGAAGTTCCTGATCTAGAAAGCGTTACGAGGCCAGCGAGCGTTCAGAACAGAGATCACTGGGCACAGTTCCAACTGCACCCCTGGCAGCGGGGGCCAGGCCAGGGCAGAGCCCGGGCAAGCTCCGAGGCAGACAGGACCTAAATCCTCTCACGGGCTCTCTCCCTTCACCGTGAGGTTTCACGTGGGGATGACAAAAAGGACGCCCTGGGAACACTGGCCTGGAAACTGGGCTCTAGGCCGACGTCTGCTCCTAGTCTCCCACAGGACTCGGGACAAGCCCTTCCGCCGGCCTGGACAGATGTGGCCCAAAATCACATTCACTCACATACTTTCAAAAGTTAGCAATGAAGGGTGGAGTTTAGACGTACCTGAATTTCTTACTATCATCCCGAACCCTGCAGTGCTCAGAGGAATCCCCTAAATTAGCTTTCTCCACCGATCCAGACTTGACCTTGAATCTGTAAATGACTCCTATGTTTCTCTTGCTTCTGCATCAGGCACCAAGCCCCATGGCACCGCTTCCCAAAGCAAGCCCCAGGGGACCCCAGTAGCGTCGCCTGAAGTGCTTATTAAAGTGCGGGTTCCAGGGTCCCACCAGACCTCGTCCAGGGGTGTGTCTAAAAGCCCCCAGCTGACTCTGCAGCTCCACATCTACTGCCAGGTGGA